ACACTCATATAGTCCCTCCTACTTTCTGCATCTCACCCCGGAGTAGTACATTTGTTACAGTGGGTGAACTTACATTGATGTATCATTATCACCCAGTTTATAGTTTACACTAGATGCCCAGTGCACGAAATTTATGCACTCAGGTTGGGGGTATTCTCTCAGCCTGACCTGCACCCTCTCTAATCCGGGAGCCCTCAGGGAATGTCCTACTGATCCTTAGGCCCACTTCCCATGGCTCTCTGCTTTCTGCGGGGGGCCTGCCTGCTTTATACCATGGCAGTGGGCAAGTAGCCTGGTGGGTGCTGTCTGCAAGCCACGCTTACCTGCTTGTGGGTCACCGCAGTGACAGTCAAGCAGGCCCACTTGCCTGCACCTGGGTCACACAGCTACGGCCAAGCAGGCCCTGCTGTCTGCTGTCAAGTTGCATGGCCGCCCTCACCTCCTGGGATTGACGATGGTCTCAGGAGCCTGCAGGCTTTGTACCCATTCCTGGGACCCAGGGTACTTGGCGCCACCCTGCCCCCAACCTCTTGGTGTCTGCATATGCAAATTAGCCCACCATCATTGTTGGGTTAATTTGCATACTCTTGATTGGTTGGTGGACATCGTGGAGGTACAGTCAATTTGCATCTTTCTCTTTCATTAGTGTAGATTGGGGATTATTCTTGGTATACATTGTCTGGATTTTAACAAATGAATAATGAAATGTATTCTCTGTAATAGTACGAAACAGAATAGCCTCACTGCCTTTTTATCTTTCCCTTCACCTTAACCCCTGGTAACAGGTGGTTTTACAGTCTCCTTTTCCAGAATGTCATATAGTAGTTGGAATCACATGGTATGTAGGCTTTTTAGATTGTCTTTTTTTACTTGATAATATGCACTTAATGTTCTTTCATGTCTTTTCATTGCTTGGTAGCTCATTTCTTTTTAGTGCTAAATAATATTCTATCTGGATGTATCTATTCATCTACCGAAATATATCTTGTCCAAGTTTTGGCAGTTATGAATAAAGTTGCTATAAACATCTGTGTGTGGGGTTTTGTGTGGATATAAGTTGTCAACTCCTTTGGTATTTATACCAAGGAGCGTACTTGTGGATCATTATAGTAAAAATATGTCTAGTTTTATAAGAATCTGCCAAACTGCCCTCCAAAGTGGCTGGTGCCATTTTGCATTCCCCCCAGCATTGAATGAGAATGCCTGTTAATGTACATCCTCACCAGCATTTGATGTTGTCAGTGTTTGGGATTTTGGCCATCCTAATTTATATGTATTGATGTCCCAATATTGTTTTTATTTGCATTTCCTTAATGATCAGATATCAAAAATCTTTTCATATGCTTATTTGCCATCTGTATTTTTTGGTGAAGTGTCAGGTCTTTTGCCATTTTTTTCTTAATTGTGTCATTTGTTTTCTATTGTTGAGTTTTATGAATTCTTTGTATATAGGAAGTCTTCACTTAACATTGTCTATAGGTTCTGTGACTTTAAGTGAAATAACATAAAATGAAGCCAGTTGTAACAGAGGCTAAGAACACAAGGTTGAACAGTCCTTTACCAGATATGTTTTTTGCAAATATTTTTTCCCAGTCTGTGTTTTGTCTTCTCTATCTCTTTATCAAAATCTATTGCTATTCAAATGATTCTAATTAATCACCAGGTTTGTGATCTGGTTTGAACTATTATGTGTGCATTGCTTTATCCTGTTCAAAGCTAAGTATCATGTACAGCCAGTTTTCAATGGCTTATTTTATCCTGTCACAGCTGACCCCATACTTTTATCACCTTCCATAGCTTTGTTACTTGTTCTTGCTTGTCACACCCTTCAAATTCCAACTCTTCAACTGAGTAAACTTCTTAGAGGTCTTCTTAAGTAATAATACCGGTCATACTTGTCAGCAGGCCCTTTTGATCCTAGGATCACCTCTTATAGCAGGGTTCCTTCCCATTTGCCTTTTCTGGTGCAGAAATTAATGGTTGTGTTGAGTGTGAGACTAACAGTGTTAACACACACACACACACACACACACACAGCCCCCACTTTCTCTTCTTCAAAATGTCTGTATTGTTACATTAATAATTTGTAAAATGAGGCTTTTTCCACTTAGTGTGTATTTTTTATTTATATGCCAGCTTTTTGTTTAAAAGCCTGTTTTAATTTTCATAAAGGTGGTATTTTCATCTGATTCCTACCACTTTATGATATATATTTGAAAAAATATCCATTCACTTTTGATGTATCAAAATAGAAAGATATTTTTGGGGGTATTATTAAAGAAATAATTTTTTGGTTTTAGAGTGATTTGAGTAATTAAGAGACCATTACAGCAAATGTATGTAAGACATTTACTTTATGTCTTAGGTATGTGTGTATATGCAGTCATTCAAAAATTAACAAAATTAGCTCTTAATAGTTTTTTTCGTTTTGTTTTGTGTTTTGTTTTTGTTTTTTTGCTAAGTAATATTTACTTATTGATTTGTGAGGATAATTTTTGAAGTGTGATGCAAATAAAGTTTTATTTATGACACATTGTGCTAGTTTATCACATTCTTATTTTTTAAAGTCAGGTATAAATATAAATATTATATAGATGCTTGTTGACATATTTTAAAGAGTATTAGTAATTTTGGAAAACATGGTTTATTTTATAACTATTTAATTGGTCATTTTTTCATTCATCTAAACACATTTTTAGATTAATGAAATATGCCAAGCACATTTTTATATGCTTGGTATATTTCATTAATGTAATCAGGGTGACTTTAATGTAGGTAACACATAATTTGATTTTTATAACTAAGGGTTACACAGAGTTTATGTAAGTCCTTAAGAATAATTAATTATTAAATATTCTTAGTGTTTGGAATATACCATTTTATTTTTGTTACATAGTGCAATTTCTCTAGTATTTTCATGATTTTAATTTAATTGACACTCAAAATTTAGTAGTACAGTGAAAGAATTTGAAGTGTGGTGAAGAATTTGTATATAGCTACATTTTCAACTTGCTATGTTGATGGGTTTTTTTGTAGTATCAGCTATCTTGGGAATTGGTATCTGACAATTGGTAGACTTAATAAGTTGAAATAAATGACTTATCTACTTTTCATAACAGTGTTTGTTAAACACAGTGCTTTCAACTAACCGACATGGATATTTATCACTTTTGATATAGTAGTCAATATATTTATGGAATAATTTTTGAGTGATACATTTTGAAGTCCAAAAGCTTCAAAATACATCTTGTGTACAAGACAAAATACAGTTGTGAACAAAAGATTAAATATATAATAAAATTCTAAATTATGTATTATAAGCTAGTGGCTTTTATACTACATGTTTAGTAGAATAGACATATAGTCTCATCACTAATATCTATTGAAGACCTCTTTTCCTCTAATATATAAGAAAAAATAAATTAGATACAGTTGTTTTTCCCCCAATTTGAACTTAATCCCCACGTTTTGAGATTAATGTGTTATGTGTAATTTTCTTTCAATGTTTGGTTACTCCAATCACTTATACTAGTTATAATACTCGATGACATTTTTATTTTACTTTTGTTTAGAATTTAGGTTCATAGATATCTATGTATTTTAATATATGTATTATATTTGTTTTTCAAAAAACATCATGACTTCAATTCTCCCCAACCTGAAAAGTTGTTTACTGCTGTAGATTGTTTATAGTAAAGGATATTTGGAGATAAAGCTGTTAGGTTGGAATATTGACAATTGAACTAGATTATGGAGGATTATTTGGATTTGAATAACTGGAGAGTTTGGCAGTATAGTCCAACAAAAGAGTTACAGAAACCTAGAAAACAAGCCACTTCTTCATGATAAAGCTAGAACCAGAATCTAGATTCTGTTTCCTAGTTAAATACTCTTTCCATTGAACTAACAGGAAGTAGTAGTGGTCAGTAACCTCTTATTGGAGAAGATAGCAGTATTATGCTTGTGGATTATGTGAAGGAAGTCTTGAAATCTGCATAGTATAAGGATTGCATAGTATAAGGAAAGCATTTCAGACTCGGGGAACTTTATGTGCAAAGACAGATACCCTAAAAGAGCTTACCATTTTGGAAGTGGATCATGGTATTGGAGGGTGGGGATAAAATAAAATATCTTGCATATGCCAGGCACTATTGGAGGTTTGGGAGATACACATGGAAAATACAGAAACCCTGATGCTATGGAGCTTATATTTTGGCATGATAAACAAGAAACTACTAATATAGTACATAATGATGAGTGCTGTGAGGAATAATAAACTGTAGGGGTGGTTGTTTGAAATAGAGTGGTCAGGGAAAAGCAGGAGGTAGGACTGTGTAGAAAAAAGTGAGGAAGTAAGCTATGAATCAAGGCAAAAGAAATGGCAGAGTACATTTGCTGTATGCAGCTCCGTTGTAACTAGAGTGTTGGATGAGTGCCAGACACTGTTCTAAGTATATTACAAGTGTTAATTTAATCTTTTCAATAATCCTACAAAACGAACACTATTTCACATTTAAGGAAATTGAAGCATAGAGATAAAATAATGTATCCAAAGTCATACAGCTAGTCAGGGAGCTGGGATTCCAGGTAATTTGACTCAGGAATCAGTGGTCTCACTATTTCTTCAAAAAATGGGGGAGGGAAGGAAGAGTTGGAGCAATAGCCTCAGGACCAGTTCTACAGATAGAGCCTTTTAGTTCCATATAAGTATTTAGGATTTTTTTTTTCTTTTTTTTTACTGTGATGTTAAAAAGAGCCCAGGAGATTGTTTTTTGATTCTGAAGGTCAAGGGAAAAGACCTGGTCTATACAAAACACATTTATTAGTCATCTGTACATACCATAGCTTAAAATGTTTCTACTGGTCTATAACATTTTTTAATTTAAAATTGAAGAGTTCACTTTATTATTTTATTGAACAGATATAAGTTCATGTTATATATGAGTGTGTGCATATGTGTGTGTGTATAAACAAACTGTAATGAACTCTTTTGTTAATAGGTGCGAGAGGATGTACTTAATTCATTGAATAACAACTTTCTTCAAACGCTAAATCAAGCTTGGAATGATCATCAAACAGCTATGGTGATGATTAGAGACATACTAATGTATATGGTGAGTTTTTGTTTTTGTTTTTTAATAAATCTTTATTGTTCATATTATTACAAATGTTTCTCTTTTTTCCTCCCCTCCTTTGCTCTCCTCCAACAGGTTCCCACCCGACCCTCTGCCCTTTCTCCACCCCCCATTGTCCTCATCCATAGGTGCACAGTTTATGTTCAGTCTCTTCCCACATCCCTCTCTCCCCTTTTCCCCAAGAATCGTCAGTTCACTCCCCTTCCATACCTCTGATTCTATTATATTATATTCTACAGTTAATATTGTTCATCAGATTTTTTTTTAATTTCCTTGGTTTTTAGATTCACTTGTTGATAGTTACGTATTTGTTGTTCATAATTTTTATCTTTATTTACTTTCTCTTCCGAAAGAACCCCCTTCAGCAATTCATATAATTCTGGTTTGGTGGTGATGAACTCCTTTAACTTTTTTTTTATTAGTGAAGCTCTTTATCTGGCCTTCAATTCTGAGTGATAGCTTTGCTGGATAGATTATTTTTGGCTGTAGGTTCTTACTATTCATCACCTTGAATATTTCTTGCCATATCCGTCTGGCCTGCATGGTTTCTGTTGAGAAATCAGCTGACAATCGTATAGGTGCTCCTTTATAGGTAACTACCTGCTTTGCTCTTGCTGCTTTTAATATTTTCTCTTTGTCTTTTGCTCTTAGAATTTTAATTATGATTTGTCTTGGTGTGGTCTTATTTGAATTCCTTTTGTTTGGAGTTCTGTGCGCTTCCTGGACTTGTAAGTCTAATTCTTTCACCAGGTGGGGGAAGTTTTCTGTCACTATTTCTTTCAGTATGTTTTAGATATCTTGCTCTCTCTCATCTTCTAGGACCCCCATAGTTCTGATGTTGGTTCGCTTGAAGTTGTCCCAGAGATTTCTTACATTATCTTCAATTTTCTGGATTCTCTTGCCTTCTTGCTTCTGCGGAGGAGTGTCTTCTGGCTCTTTATGTTCAAATCTTTGACTTGATTCTTGCAGTCTTCCATTCTGTTTTTAGGACTCTGTATAATATTTTTTATTTCAGTCAATGTATTCTTTGTTTCTTGTTGATCTCTTATTATTTCTAGTTGATCCCTTTTCATATCCTCATAGGTCTCGTTTATTTTATCGGCCTTTTCTAGGAGATTCTTGAACAACCTTATAAGTGTGGTTTTGAACTCTATATCCACTCCCTTTTTGTCCTCCATTTCTTTTGTGATCTATTTCGTTGTCTTGGCATTTTTGCCACTTCCCTGATGGGGCGGAGTTTCAGAGTGGAGCCTACAGGCTTGGCTTCCGTCAGCCACGCCCTATGCGGTTCCTGAGTCTCAGTAATCCCCAGGGTCCTTCAGTACTCACTGCAAGCACCTCTGAGAGAAAGGTGTCCTCGATTTTCGCCTGCTACCAAACAGTGTAGGCTCTCCCCCAATGAAGCCCAGAACTGGGGTTCAGTTCAGTTGGAAGTGGGGTTGGAGGTGGTGTTCAGTGCAGTCTTGAGCCCCTGTCTCCTTCTCGCCAGGGCAATCCCGCGGCACAGCCAACTGTCCCTTCTCTGCGCGCAATGTGCGCGCCTCCGGGACCTCCTTTCGCTGCTTTCCCGGGGTTCCACCTTACAGCCCAGCTCCCTCTGTTTGAGCCTGGGTCCTCTGGGTCTGGCCTAGAACTGGGGTTCAGAAGAGTGGGAACTGGGGCCTAGCACAGTCCGGAGCCTTTGTCTCCTTCCCGCCATGGCAATCTGGCAGCAGAGTCAACAGTCCGTCCTCTGTGCACAATGTGCACACCTCCGGGACTGCCTCTCCGCGCGCGCCATGTGTCTCTGTACCTTAGGCTTTTACAGCTCCTCCGTTCTTCCTTCTGGTTTTTTCCTTGCTTCTCATTGTAGAATTTCCAGTCAGTCAACTTTCCTGTAATTCTGGGTAATGTCCATATTGTATTTTATTGAAATTGTTGTGTGTGTGGCTGCGGCTAGGTGTTTACCTGTGCAGCCGTCTTGATTCTCTAAATAGAGGTTTTTTTTATTGTTTTTCCCTATAAGAAGTTAGGTATTTCAAAATGATGTTTTCTTTGTTATATGTAGTTGAGTAGTATATGTCAGTATGGAAAGTGCTTTTAAAAAAAAAATAATATTGACCTAGCAAGGGTCATGTTAGTTTATATAGTGTTTTATATACTTTATGATTAGAATGAAAGACTGGAAGGGAAAGATGTAATTTTTTCTGAAAATCTACTATTTTTGCTTACAATACCGAAAAGCTTTACCACCATCTCTTTTGAGTAAAGGTGGTTGAATGACAACATGATAAATGAAAGGTGAATATTCTGTTACAAATTTATAATGTCTTCATATCTTTCCTAATAGGGGATGTCATTAATGGAAATACTTTTGTGATAACTATACTCTAATAGCTGCCATCTATCTTTCTTAATAGTAAATGCTTTTAGTATTTATATTCTTCAAATATATATTCTATTTTTCACCTATTACTTTTTTTTGTTTCTGTCAGTCAAGAAAAATACCTTTTCAACATGACAGTTTGGAAAGCATTGATGAGCAAAGGTGTTTAATTACTTTCTAGGATATTAAACCATCAGTTTTTTTTAATTTTCGTATGATAGAGTGAAACAAAATTTATCAAGTGCTTAATTATTCTGTCACTGCAAAATTACCTAGTCTAATAATATCTTGTTGCGTTAGTGTTCATGTTTGGAAATTGGAAAGAATGATTTTCTTCTAAACTTTCACTCTTTGCTTTTCAAATTTTTATTTTCTTTTCTTTAGTTGTAATACAATGGTGAAAGCTTACCTAGAAATAATTTTCAATGGGAGCTATACAATTTTTTGTTCTGCTGATGAATTCAGTTGGGCCTGTTACTTCTGGTTTTGCAAGGCGTTCAGTGATAGGATACTTTATTTTTCAGGGGTTTGATAAAAGGTGTAATACATTGTTTAGTCTTTCTGAGCCTTATTTTCACATTTTTCAGGATATAGATTCATGTTGTGTTGACATTTTGAGGCAATGATATAGCATAAGAATATATCATGTCTGGGATATAAATGCGAAATAAGTTTATTGCTGTTCTCTTAACGTTCTCGATTTGTTGAGTCTTTAAATTCTAACACTGTCTAACATTAACACCACTTGTAATTTCATGGTCCATTGTTCTGATACAGAAGTATTTTTAAAACTAGAGGGCCGGTGCACAAAATTTGTGCACTGGCATGGGGGGGTGTCCCTCGGCCCAGTCTGTACCCTCTCCAATCTGGGACTCCTCAGGGGATGTCCGACAGCCTGTGGGATTGGGCCTAAACCAGCTGTTGGATTTAGCTCTCACAATCTGGGTCTGCTGGCTCCTAACTGCTCGGCTGCCTGCCTGCCTGCCTGCCTGCCTGATTGCTCTTAACTGCTTCTGCCTGCCAATCTGATCACCCCCTAAATCAGGCATCTTCAAACTACGGCCCGCGGGCCACATGCGGCCCGCAGAGGAGTCTGATCCGGCCCGCCAGGTTTTTTGGGCAATGAGCGCAGCCGAGGTATTACAGTAGGAATTAGTAGTTCATATAGTCCGGCCCTCCAGCTCTCTGAGGGACCGTGATCTGGCCCCCACTTTAAAAAGTTTGAAGACGCCTGCCCTAAATGCTCCTGCCAGCATGATCAACACCTTACTGCTCCCCTGCCAGCCCAGTTGTCTTCCCCTCCCTCCAGCAGGCCTGGTCCCCCCACAACTGCCCTCTCCTGCAGGCCCATTTGCCCCCAACTGCCCTCTCCTGCAGGCCCATTTGCCCCCAACTGCCCTTCCCTGCAGGCCAGGTCACACACAACTTCCCTCCTCTTCTGGCCTGGTCACTTCTAACTGCCCTCCCCTGCAGGCCTGGTCGCTCCCAACTGCCCTCCCCCATTGGCCTTGTCCCCCACAACTGCCCTCCCCTGCTGGCCATCTTATGGCACCCATCTTGTGACCATATGGGGGTGGCCATCTTGTGCGAGGGCATGATGATCAATTTGCATATTATATTTTTATATATAGGTTAGGATTATACAACACTCAATCTTATATCAGGTTATATTTTAAATTTGTTTTATTTCAATTCATTTTTTTCTCATGAAATCTCAAACCTTGAATGCTAACTGTTATGTGAACATTGATTGTCAAGTTCATTCTCAGCTTCATTTATAAAGATGAAAATAATGTGGTACCAACTTGGTAGGGATGGCCATGAGCTTAAAGGGGCCATTCGTATAAAGCACTAACAAGGCCCGGGACTATAATGTGCTCAGTAAAAATTAACTATAGTATTATATTTCTCATTCCTTCAACCTTGAAACAAACACATCTGGTGGTGCTATAGCTGAATAAACCCAGCCACTTAAACCTTTCTTGGGCCTTTCCTGTAGGAAATCCCACACAGGGTAGGTGAGTGCCACTTTGTATATAGTTACAAACCTTCAGTCAGCCCTCCACGCTACCCAGCACTCTCTAGTGAGCTCATCCACCACTTTGAAATAGTTTTCTCTTCAAACCTCCTGCTTTCCTACTGGTCACTTTGCTCTTAACTGCCTTGCCTTCTACCTCTCAGAGAAAAGAGAAAGCATAAGGTAGAAACTGTGTCTTGCCACTGAATCTACAATTTTACTTGTATTTTCTATCCTTTTGCGTTTTTCTTTTTCCTTCCTGTTTTAATGGAGGGTAGTGTCTCTCTGACAAAGGCCAGTCTTCCACCTGTGTTAAGGATTACATCCCTTTCTACCTTGTGAAAAACCTGAAGTATTTTCAGGTTCTGCCTTTTTACTCAGTCTTACTTACCAGCTTAAATAGTTTGGGCCACTCACTTCCTCAAAACCTTCTGAGTTTTCTTTTGGACCTCTGCATTTCCATTCACAACTAAAGTGTCTCATAAGAACTTTTGAACTCGTTTTTCCCTTTTCTCACCCTTCATTCGCTTTCATTGTGTTCCAGTTAAGTTTCTGTCTCAACACTTCAAATTTTCACTCTCTTTATTTTGCATTTTTATCTGAAATATTCTTTTCAGTCTTGCCCTTATCAAGATTGCCATATCTGCAAATCTATGAAGGCAAAGATCACTGCTAGTTATCGGCTCCTGGATTTGTTTCAGCAGTATTTGGTACATTTAACCAGTCTTTTGTCCTAACGCGTTGGGTTCTTAATTTCTGTGACAAAGCACTCACTCCCTTTGTATGCTTCTACCTTTCTGACTTTTCCTTCTCCTGGTACACCTAACTTTATTTGGTGCCTCTGTGCAGATGATCTCAAATAAATTAGGTCTCCAACCTCAGTCTCTGAGATTCAGATTCATAGTCATTTGTCTAGGTGATGGCTCCCTTCATTGTCTGAGGTATTTCAAACATGGCATTTCTAAATAGGCTCCTAACCAATGTTATTTCATTGTTTATGCCAGAAATCTGGGGCTTATTATTGTCAGTTTTTTCTCCCTCTCTCTCTCTCCATCATATATTTCTAGAATCTGCAGTTTATTTCTGTTTGTAGATCTCCCCAAGACCAGAGCACCTTCATTTCTCTCTATTCAATCACTAATCTTACAACATTCATTGTGCTCCTCTCTATTCTCTTTTCAATATTGCTCCTAAAGTTATTATTTTCAAGCATGTGGTCATGTTGCTTCCCTGTTGAGATTCTTCTCTCTTATCTTGGAATCATCACACATGTCTTTTGTCTAGAAATGTTTCTAGAATGTTTCCTCTCTATTTGATTTGTTCCTACTTATCCTTTAGATCTTAGCTTAAATTTTTAGTAAGCTGTATGTATCTCCTGGCCACAGTTGCTCTGATTGTACCCAGTACTATTCCTTTGCAATATTTATCACATTCATTAACAGCTATTTATTGCCTTGTTTCCCAACTAGCCTGAATTTTATGAGGGGCTAATGTCTGTTACCACACTGTCTCCCCAGCACCTAGCAGGGCCCTTTGCACAAAGGAGACACTTACATATACTTCAAATGGATTAATATACATAGTTTTCTAAATTGTGCTTTTTCAAAATGCTTATTAAAAAAGTTCTTTAATAAAAATATGTTCTTTTAGATTCAGAAATTAAAGTGTTAATGAGATATCTTCATGCTTCACAAACTAGAATTCTTTCATTCTCTTTATTTTGCCTTTTTATCTGCAGTATTTTGAGCTTAATTAACCATGTGCTTTTATCTATTTTTAAAACTTTTTAACTTCATTTTTATTGTTGACACTATTACAAATATCCCCATTTTCTTTCCCTTTGCCTATCTCTACCCAGCCCCCGAAGGCCCTTCACTGGCCATCACCATACTGTTGTCTGTGTCTATGTCATGCATATATGTTCTTTAGCTAATTCTTTCACCTTCTTTCATTGAGTCCCCCCTTCTCCCTCCTCTCTGACAACTGTCATTCTGTTCCATGTATTAATGCTTCTGTTTTTATTTTGTTCGTCAGTTTATTTTGTTCATCAGCGTCCACATATAAGTGAGATCATGTGGTATTTGCCTTTCTCTGACAGGCTTATTTCACTTAGCATAATAATCTCCAGGTCTTGTTCATTCTGTGCAAAAAGTGTGGTTTCCTTTTTCTATAGCTGCATAGTATACCATTGTGCAAATATACCACAGTTGGGGTTTTTTTATGCACTCATCTACTGATGGGCACTTGAGCTACTTCCAAACCTTGGCTATTATAAATAACACTGCAGTGAACGGGGGTTGGGGGTTGGGGGGGGGCATATACTCTTTTGAATTATTTGGGATTCTTAGGATATATTCCCAGAGTGGAATTAAAAAGCAGTTCCATTTTTTTATTTTTTGAGGAAACTCCATCCATACTGTTTTCCATGGTGGCTGCACTAGTTTCTATTTCCACCAGCAAAGATTTACTTTTCTCCATATTCTTGCCAGCACTTGTTGTTCGTTGATTTATTGATGATAGTTCTTAGCTCTTCTGGCAGGTATGAGGTGCTATCTCATTCTGGTTTTAATTAGTATTTCTCTGATGATTAGTGACATTGAGCATTTTTTCATGTCTACTGGCCATCTGTATGTCTTCTTTGGAAAGGTGTCTATGTGGGTCTTTGCCCATTTTTTTATTGGATTGTTTGTCTTTCTGGTGTGGAATTATATAAGTTCTTTATGTATTTCCTAGGGCAAGGGAAACAAAGGGAAAATAAATAAATGGAATTGCATAAAACTAAAAAGCTTTTGCATAGTAAAAGAAACCATCAACAAAATGAAAAGGAAACCCACTGTATGGGAAAACATATTTGCCAATGATAGATCAGATAAGGGGTTAATTTCCAAAATTTATTAAAAAACAAACGTATAAACGAATGCTTTTTAAACTTAAAGTAAAATTTATATACCTTGAATGTTGAGAAATAAAGTATGTAAAATTATTTTTGATAGGTGTACATACCCATGTAACCAGTGCTTCAGTCAAGGTAAATAAATGATTTTAGTTTTCCAAAAATAAAAAATGTAGTCGATGTCTACATTTTTTTTGCAAGGGTGTGGTGGGGAGGGCTGTTACCCTCATTCCAGACTTTCTCAGGTCACATTACTTGCTAGATAGGGTATACACCTGAGGTATAGTTGTTATATCTTCATGGAAACTAAACAGATTATTTCTTCCACTGAATACTGGCTCTAACTGTTAGAATGTTAGATTATGGTTCAGAGAGGAAGGAGAGAAGATGCTTCACTGTTACCCACCTTCCACTTACTTAGCTAGCTGACTTTAACAAGGTGTACGAGTCTGAAGTGTCATGCATGAGCCTAATTGCATAGATACGATGGGACACACTAATTCCTGAAAATGAAAATTATTCACAGGTTACATGGAAACAGCCATTGGTGAAAATTTCTTCCACATAACTTTGTTGTTTGGCAGGTCGAGTGTTTCAAAAAGAAAAGTATTTATGCTTCTAGATGGAACATGTGACCTCTAGTTTCTACCAATCCAGTTATTCCTAATAGCTGAGAAAAAACATTATACCTATTTAGTTTATAATCTTTGCTTTACTTAAATTAGTTACTTTTAATTCATCTTTTCTTAAAGAACAATTAAGATGTTGAACTTTTAAGATTGGTTTAACATTGCTTAGTATAAGCTTTTCAGTTTTAATTGTTTAAAAGATTAATGATTGGGGGAAAATTTTAATATTTTATGGAAAAAGTTTGTTACAGTATAGCTTATTTAATTATTATAATCCATGAGTAGTTATTTTTCCCATTAAACATTGTACATTTCATTGAACATTTCATTGTAGGGTTAAATGAAATTATGTTATTCTGTAGACAACTTTGAGAAATTAGAATTAATGTTAAAGGAAAGAGGAAAATATTTTCTGTCATCATATATAGGATAATAGAAAATTAATACATGAGTTTTCTGCCTGAAACTATGGTGAATTTCACAGGTATTTTTATTTTTTTACTCAAGTTTGTCTATATTTCCAGTCATTTTTATAAACTGCAAAGATATGGTAGTATTGCTGATTAGTCTTAAAGATAAGAGGCTGTAAATTTAAAATCATGGAGGGAAGTTAACCTGGGAAAGGAGGATCAGTGCTTCTTTGAGGTATTTGGAAAGTCATTAAGGATGGGTAAAGAGGTGAAGTAGAAAGTAGCAACAACATTGTGGAGAGGACTTGAGAAAGTCTCTACTGATGCTTTTCCTAGTAAATAGAAAAGGGACCATTAGTTTAAAACAGTGATTTTCAATCAGTGTGCTATAAAAAGTTTTAATACGTCTAATACCTGACTATTACTCAGGGGCACAGATCTCTTTTCCCTTAGATTATTAAATAACAAAATGACAACAGCCAACACAACAATAACAACAATAGCCATCAGGTGTGAATGAATCAAAATTATATATATATATTTTTGTCAGATTAGCAAGATATATAGTTGATATTTGGGTGTGCTGCAAAATTTTAGTAATAGTTTACGTGTACCATGAGATGAAAAGGGTTGAAAACTGCTGGTTTAGGGTGACAGGCATGTAAGGTGTTGAGGAATGTGGAAAACTGAATAATGGTCCTTTTCCCCTGTCCTTCCAATATGTCCATGACTAATCACTGGAACCTAAAGATTGTTACTTTAAAAGGCAAAGGGGACTTTCTCAGATGTGATTGAGTTAAGGATCTTGAGGTGAGGAGATTATCCTAGGTCAGTGGTGAGCAAACTGTGGCTCTTTGGCCCCTTGAGTGTGGCTTTCCCACAAAATACCACGTGCGGGCCCGCATATACAGTGTGATTGAAACTTTTGGCCCATGCGCAGAAGTCAGTTTTCAGCTCGCAAAAGAAATTTCAATCTTGTATTGTTGATATTTGGCTCTGTTGACTAATGAGTTTGCCAACCACTGTCCTAGGTTGTCCTGCTGGGCCCAAAGTGATTACAGAGTGGGTGGCAGGAGGGTCAGAGACAAAAGAGAAGGCAGTATACTGACAGAGGCAGAGATGGGATTGATAAGCTCTCGAGATGGAGGAGGGCCACAGCCAAGGAATGCATCATGTGGCCACTAGAAGCTGAAAAAGGCAAGAAAGTGGATTCCCCCCTCAGAGCCTAAAAAAGGAACAGATCCTACAGACACCTTGACTGTAGTCCAGTGAAACTGATTTTAGTCTAGAAATACCTATATATTAAAAAGCTAATATACTAAGTGTCCAACCTTCCCACTGGTCACTATGACACACATTGACCGCCAGAGAACCGACACTCAGTGCAGGAGCTGCCCTGACACACACAGAGAAAGGGCACCGCAGACCTGGTGCCCACAAAGCAACACTCGGCTTCCTCCAAGTGGGACACAGGCCCCACCACCACCCCAGAGCAATACCCCACCAAATAGCAGCCAGTGCTACTGAGACCCCATGGCACAAAATGTGGCCCACAGCCCAGCCCAAAAACAGTGGCTGTGGGCTCTGGGTAATGACCTCATGTACAATAGTAACACCATGATTCCTCTCCCTAGCCACGACTAGCCTCCTTGCAGTTTCTTCAGCCCAGGAACATTACTTGCTTTATAGCCAGGTGGAAATATTTCACAATGTAACCAAATGTCTGTGAAGCATTTTCCCTTGCCTCATCTCATTTGATCCTCACAAAAGACCTGGAGTGGGTAGGTAAGAGACTTAGTGGGATCCTGTTTTCTTTTTATTAGCTGGAAAATGGAGATTTAGAAAGTTTTCATACTTGACCCTACTGAAAAGAAGTAAGAAATGGTGGACCTTGAGAATGACTTCAGGTTTTCTCACTGCGCAGAATATAGCCAAACACTGCTGCAGTTAAATACCCTGCGTGACCGACAATAGCAATCTTTGCTTCGTGCTGATATTTACTGCTGTGTTGCTGACAGTTACATGAAAGAGAAGTTGGGGTGCTTCACTGGACTGGAAAAAGTTTAGCTACATCAGAAAGCAGATCTAAAAAGATAAAAATAAATAAAAATTAAAAATTAATAAAAAAGAAAGCAGATCTAATTAAGCAAGTTTATTCTATATCTATAAAAGGCTAAGTTGACTTGCATGCAAGATACATATAAAGCTCTTGCTGGTGCCAGTGGCACATGCATGTTTCAATATGTCTTTATTGATTGTGAATTTGTTTGAAACTTCTCTTATAGAGAAAGGGCAAATAGCGGTATTAAAATATTTCTTCTAATTTCCTTTTAATGTGCACAAATTTGTACACCGGGTCTCTAGTAAGAGAATATATAAACTACTTAATTTGAAGTAATTTGTTCAGCAGCAATAGGAAACTAGTAATATAAGGGAGAAATTTGTAATAACTCCTTTGCTGGGCCAGCTCTCTGTAAATAAATGGATCATTAGGTGAGTTGGCACACATTTTGTATAGTGGAGACAGTCAGCAGTTTGTACTTTTTCCAAGGGGCTCTTAGCAGGCACAGAGAAGAATGTTCAAAATAAGGAACTCACTAATAGAATTTGCCATATTGGGTGTAGGGGAGATTGCTAAGATCATTAGTAGCATTAATGACATGGTTGATCATAGACTGTTTTAATAAGTAGGCAAGTGAATCACAAGGTTCCAAGAAATAGAAGTATTGGGTATTAGGGATCAGTAGATTCAAAGATCCAGTGAGAATGAGGAGCAGTATAACAAAGTAGGGAAAGGTGGGAGGAAAAAGCTCTTCAGTGCCAGAAATGTTTGATGCTTTCTCAAGATAGGTTTAGGATTTGCGGGGGGAGAGAGGGGCAGGAAATCCTGGTAAGATGGGAGATGAAAATTAAACTGTCTATCTGTAAGAAGTATTCCAGGTTAAACATTATTAATGTTACAGTTACCAAAGGTAGTAGATGGCAAGGAATAGAGTTGTGAAAAATAATGTTGTGAGAAATGAATACTGTTTGCCGAAGTTAACAGTATTTGTGTGTCATAAATGGGATAAGAACACAGACATGGTGGAATTTTGTGAGTCTGTTTTTTTCTATAGATTTTGTGCTTTGGGGTTCAAAAAGTTTATGGATTACACATTTAGAGCGGTTTGAAAGTAGCTATATTCTAGAATAGGGGTGTCGAACTCAATCAGAGAAGGGGCCAAAATCTAAAATCCAACCTAAATCGCGGGCCGAATGGTTTACTGAACAGTCATAAACTGTCATTGTGATGGAAACGCAGCGGAGTGCAGTGATGACAGCGTGGTGCGGGCCACATTGCAAGGCCTGGCGGGACGGATTTGGCCCGAGGGCCTTGTGTTTGACACATGTGTTCTAGAAGAACACAGGTTGCTTAAGAATCTTCTCCGCACTTTCTCTGCTTTCAAAATGTTTTCTTAGAAGGAAGTGGATTCAATGGCTTTGGGACTTTGGGACTATTAAACTTCACACCTGTTCAGAATTTTTACTGATTGCTTTTGCAAGAGGGGTCTGTTCAAGACAGGCTTTCCCCATATGTACTCTAGTTTGTGACTGATGATATAATACCTTGGCATTTTTTTTATGGTTAGATCAAAAGCCAAACACTAACCCTTTATGAAAAATAAAATCAGGGCATCGTCATAAATACTTTAAAGGTTAAGCATGCTGTACTTAAAAATTGGGAGTTTTTCATTGCCTTCCATCTCAGATTCTGTTTCAAACAAATCAGTGGAACCATGAACACCTTAAATACTATGACCTCTAGGCTGTTTTTGAGTTTGTGCAATGATGGGCCTCAAGCAGTTCATGACACTGAGTTTAGGGAGGCAGATATATATTCAGCATGAAGTAGGTCTTATGGTACAGTCAGAAATAGGGCACATATTTGTTGATGTATAAAGGAAGTGAAATTTTTATACATAAAGTGGATGCTCCCAATACTATATATATAGGAAATTTGCAGTAGTGAGAAAAATACTTGAGATATTCAGCTTTAGTTTCTACTTTGTTATTAATTTGCTTAAGTCATTTTACCTCTTGAGGTAAGACTCTTGTTTCCTTATCTATAAGGAAAATAAATTACATTTACTGGGTAAGAGCTCGGGTTCTTATCTTTTGAAGGGTTAGACACCCCTTGGAGAATGGTCAAAATTCATGGGCCCTTTTCTAAAAGACATGTGTGTGCATGCACTCATTACACAACATACCCTTTTATATATGCATTTTCAAGGGATTAATGGTTTAGTTCCCTGAAGCCTATCTATGGGATGTGATTGGAAGATGTATTGATTAGATCATTTTAAGTTTTAAGAGTTCTTTCTGCTCTGAAGTTTTATACCGTTTTAAAACTTAAATTGAATAGCTACACATGATGGCTAGGGCATGGTATTGAAGGAAAAGATCGAAAATGTGGTTTGATTAGTATTAAGTTAATGCCGTGTCTGCAACAGCTCTGTTGAAGGTGTGTTGTTAGAGCCTTGGTTGCCTATGAGTCTACCCAGTACTCTTCCATGTAATAGAGAGAGCATTTTCACTACTCTTGGTTGTGTCAAGCACTGTTTTAAGCACCTTGAGTATATTAATTTACATCAATTCATGGTTTTACAATTTTTTTTGTAGTTTGGGAAAGCAATAAAATTTCTATTCGAAAAAGTAAAATTACAAATCAATAGGTATCATTTACTACATGGCTATATCTTTGTCAAAATGTTTTAAATATCTGAACTTCTAGGTGAGTATAATATTCTCCATTTTGCAAATGAATAAACTGAAGTTAGATTAACCTGCCAAGAGCAAAAAGTTACTAACGTTACTGAAGTAGTAAAGTCTTTTTTTATTCCAAAGTTTATGGTCTTCACCTCATTGCAGAAGAATTATCTATAATAATAAAAGCGTAATATGCTAACTAGACCTGATAGTCGACCTTCCAGACATCTTTCTGGATGAAGCCGCCTGGGCAGGGGCTGAGGCAGAGGCGGTTAGGGGTGATGAGGCAGGCAGAGAGGTTAGGAGCAATAAGGCAGGCAGGCAAGTGGTTAGGGGTGATCAGACAGGCAGGCAGATGAGCAATTAGGAGCTGGCGGTCTTGGATTGCAAGGGGGATGTCCTGGATTGTGAGAGGGTGCAGGCCTGGCTGAGGGATCTCCCCCTCCCATGCACGAATTTCATGTACCTGGCCTCTAGTGCACATACATAATCTGTAATAATAAAACAGTAATATGCTATTAGACCGGCCATCATTCTGTACATCCTTCCTAATGAAGCTGGGGCCGGAGAGAAGCCAGCCCAGCCCAGGTCCTGGGTGCCTGCGGGCTGTTGGAGGAGGGAAGCAGCCAGGGTCCTGGGTGCCAGAGGGAAGCTGGTGAGGCAGCCCAGGTGTTGGAGGGAAGACAGTGCTGGCACCCGGGAAGGAAGGCTTACTACTCTTAATTGAATTTTCTTTTCTTTTCTTTTCTTTTCTTTTCTTTTCTTTTCTCTTCTCTTCTCTTCTCTTCTCTTCTCTTCTCTCTCTTCCTCTCTTCCTCTTCTTCTTCTCTTCTCTCTCTCTTCTCTTTCTCTCTTCTCTTCTCTTCCTCTTCTCTTCTCTTCTTCTTCGCTCTCTGCTCCCCTCCCTCCCCTCCCCTCCCTCCCCTCCCCTCCCCTCCCCTCCCCTCCCCTCCCCTCCTCTTTCTGATTTGAGGAGAAAATTATTTTCTTTTTTAAATATATTTTATTGATTTTTTTTTAGAGAGGAAACATCGAGAGAGAAACATCGACCAGCTGCCTCCTGCACACCCCCTTCTGGGGATGTGCCCGCAACCAATGCACATGCCCTTGACCAGAATCGAACCTGGGACCCGTCAGTCCGTAGATCAATGCTCTATCCAGTCTCGGCTCTTTTTTTTTAATGAGTTTTTGTTTATTTTATTTTTTTACAGCATTTTTTTAAAACATATTTTATTGATTTTACACAGAGAGGAATTGAGAGGAATAGAAAGTTAGAAACGTCGATGAGAGAAAAACATCAACCAGCTGCTTCTTACACACCCCCCCATTGGGGATGTGCCCGAAACCAAGATATGTGCCTTTGACTGGAATCGAACCCGGGACCTTTCAGTCTGCAGGCCGACGCTCTATCCACTGAGCCAAACCAGTTTCGGCTCTTGGCATGAATTTTCATGCATCAGGCCTCTGATAACTAATAAGAAGAAGACAAATATAAATAAATCATACAAAAAAATAATACAAGAATAAACTCACCCTAGCAGGTATGGCTAAGTG